CTGTCAAATAAGGTTAAAAATTAATGATACAGAATAATATGAAAGGGAATTTCACTCTTTCACTATTAAAATTTTCAGGATAAGACTTGGAAGGTTGCAGGTTAAAAAGAATATCTAATCATTTAACTCATTTTTATAGATTCATACTTGTCTGATTCCATAACTTTGAAATGGGATGGGTTTTGTTTTCATTTGTGCCATGTTTTCTATAAACTGATGTTAAAATAAACCAAGCCAAACAATTTTAAAATCTAAGTTTAAGGGCTATAACAATGATGAAAGTAGTTAATACCTGGAACTGCAGCAACATCCTTATGCTTAATGTTGAATAATCTTTTGGACATGGATTTAAACATAATTTTCTCTCCCAAAATACCCAAATAAGGGAAATTTCATGAGACCTTTTTTGTACTTGTCATAACTGGATCACTCTTTTTGCAAAGTGCTTCCTTTATGGATTGCTATGCATTCCTTTATTTTGGCATTAAGTTCATAAGAACAGTAAATCAAAGAAAGTTTGTGAGACAGTTATTAATATCTAAAAATGTATTATTTAAGTATTGCTTAAACTTAATACTTATTTATAAGTATTGCTGTTTAATAGCAATTAAATGCTTCCCTTCTTCTGTTTTTAACCAAAAGTTAGGTTTAATAGTTTGCATGTGTGGTAGGAAGGGAATGTAGCCTTTTTATGATTGACTCACTCGAGGCTGTTACAGCTGGGCAAAGGAACAAAGGGATGTAAGAGTCATCTGCCAGAGCCGCATGAGCCACATTGTGACCACATCAGTACTCGGGGGTGTTTCTTTGGTCCACAGTCTCTGGACTGTGATAATGGAATCCCAGATGGTTCTGGATTTCAAAATGTTTCTGAAGGGAAAGAATTTAATTTATGTTGTTCTCTTAAGGGCTGTGTGAGAACTTTGATCAACGTTGTGTAATTTACTATGACCTCATTTTATCATCAGACAGTTTTCTGCTACAAAACTGTTCAGAAGTTTCTCTCCTGGTTCTAGTGGCTACTGGAGCCCACTACAAGTCTGTTCAGCCATGTGTAGTTTTGTGCATTGTGCTGCAATGGAGAAGATTTCTGGTTTTGCTGTTGGCTTCTCTCTCACTAGCATGTGGGCAGAAAAAGAAAAAAAAAGAGCAGAGGGAGACGTACATTCCTAACATGTCTGCATCTGCTGCCTGTGGACTCCAACAAGAGATCACAGGCAAGTCAGAACGTTTTCTCCAAGGATAGTGCTGTGAGTGTTTATTTCTCCTATAAGTGATGTGCTAGGCATGACAATGTCCATATAAAAGTCCAGTGCCATCATAAAACACTACCTACCTTAATCAGCAGCCGTGTAACTTTGAATCTAAGCAAACATGAAACTAAATTGTATTGCAGCTCTTGTGCATAGCTAGTACAGTAAATAGTAGTAAGTAGAAATTATGTTTCACCTAAGAAAAACATTAACAGTTTTGCTTTTAATATGTAGGATTATCTAATAATACTGCTTTCATTAGCACTACTATCTGAATGCCTCAAAGAATCCTTTCCCTACTTCCAGATTTCTTTAGAAAATGCTATTTAACAATTGCCTAGTAAAAACTGTATTATCTTTTTTCTAAATACACAGAGGACCAAAAGCTAAAGACTTTTTAAATTTCTTAAGCATACCAATTTTTTTCTAGAAGCTTTTTTGAGCTCTCCCTTCTTTGTTTTATCTTGAGAAGGTACATTATTGCTACTTTTGGACAAATGACAAATAGAAAAGCTCTTGTTAAAGTACTCTAATATGCCTAGTCACGTACCTTTGGCATCCAATTGGATGACTCTCCTGAGCTGGTCCATGAGGCCGTGCTAATTTCAGTGAGGTATTTCATGGATAACAAGCTGCCTTACCACTGTGACCACTGCTAGGTAATGGCTTTTATAGAACACTAAATGGGAGGTGATTCTCGATGACACGTGGGACTGGGCAATTTACCTGCCAGGGTTGCTATGTTTTGCCTTTTATTAACACAGTCTGCAATCTGAAGGAGAAGATAATTTTGATTACAGGATCAGATGTACACATTTATATACATTTCCATTACTTATTATGCTAATAGTAATACAAGTGCACTTGTGTATTGCATTACCTTACAAATTTATTTCATATATTTTCCTTTTGTTTTAGAAAGGCCAATTATCTTTGCTAATATACTGTGCTATTCAGAACTGAATAGCTTCTCTTGAAGTAAATAAGGAGCCCCTTCCTGGTCTGGAGGGCAGTAAATGTCTCTCACCAGGTTCCCCCCAGGAACAGGATGCTGTTCATCCACACTTTGAATAGCTGTCTTCATAGCAAGCTCCAGATTTCATGTTCTTGTGGACATTTCAGCAAAAATGAGCTATTATTCCTAAGAACTAACCCTGTAGGCAAGGGTGAATATACATGCAGGGTCAGTCATTCCATCAAGGCCTTACGGAAAAGTACAGAGGCTGCTTTTTTATTTTAAGTTTATTTCAAGAACTGAACAACTAATAAAAGTGAATAAAAATACTAGAAGATTCAAACCTGGGATGTACTTGATTAATGCTTTAGGAAAAAATAAGAAAAAATCTCCCTCACATTCTCTTTCTGATCTCTTTGTTTCTTTCCCTCTGTTAGTAATTGTCCTGTTGGTTACCTACAGAGTTCTTGGGTTTCCAGGTGTATCAGCTTGACTCCTTGCCTCACTGGTTGGTTGCTATTTTCTGGCTGTGTATTTTCTGGCAACAAGGTAAAGCACTGAACTCCATTTAATTATTCCTAGCTGACAAGATTCTGTACTTTTTGGAATTCCCAGATTTGTCACTGTTGCCTCACTGGTGGGACTCTCTGCTGGGGCAAGCTTTGCACAGCACTTGTGTTGAGCAGTTTTTAAGATCTGTTTGTAACACGAGGCCAAGTGATGCCCCGCTGAGCAGTTTCCGAGCGCTGCAGATCCATTGACTCCTGTTAATGCAAACCACTGTAATTCACAGAACCCAGACAACACCTCTTGCCCAAGCTGCTTGAGTTTATAAAACAAATTATGTCAATCTTTATATATTTTCATGTACATAGAATTCAGAAGTACAAACTCTAAGTTACTTGGCTCTCTATACCACAAATGATTCAACTTATTTTTTTGGTTTGTTAGATTGTGTTGCTGCCTTACAAAGAGTTGTTATGCTTATGCAATACTTTAAATGAACAAGGCTTATGTTGTCCCCTTGTGTTTTATATAAGAAATTGATTTTGAAAAATTTCTTTCTTTTATGGTTGTTTTATATTAATTTTTAAGCAAACACTAAGGGGCAAAGACCAACCATCTTATGTTTGTTGATCCTTCCCAAATGGCTTGGACAAACAGGTTCCAGGTTGTAAACTGGTCACAGGGAGCTTGCTCTTTCCATTCACTCCGAGTATATTTATCTGGTTGTTTAAACCACACATTATCTAATACTTAATACAGTAAAGGTTAGGAAAACCACCTGTTGACAGAGGTGGTCACCATTTATTGTGTTCACACATAATGCAAATTTTTCACTCAAATTATTATTTGAAGTCAGTCTTAAGTGCTGTTCAGTTCTTATGGTGCTAAATTAAAAAATAATGCTGCAGCCAGCGTAATTACATAGCTATTTCCTGAGACAAATAGATAACGTGTTTCTGATAAAGTTAATTCTTTATAGCCTAGTTGCAGCAAAATGTCTTCTGAGAATTCTTATCAGTTGCTGAGATAAAATACATGCATACACAAGTATGTATTTGGTGTATATTTAGCTTTCATTGGACAATATTGTATTTTTTAGAATGTGTTAAAAGTGTTTATTTTCAATGCCTGTTACATTTTATGACCCTCTATAAGTGCTTTCTTGACATTAATGCTTCTGATGTTTTGTTTAGCTCTCTCTTTTAATAGAAGCATATCAAATATTATCTACTTTTAAGACAGAGGTAATGTGTTTGCTAATATGGCAGACTACAAATATTTTTACTCAATTCATACAAAAATATTAGCAAAAAAGGCAAAACAGAGGAGAAAACAATGAAGTGATCACCACCTGGACTGTTATAATGTATTGTCATTGCCATTTCATGGAATACTGGTAACTGTATATGCAAGCATCTGTCTTGCTCCTTTGTTAGAGCATGTACTGAAAGTAGATTCAACAATGGGGGGCAGAAGTGGCTGCAGCAGGATGTGATCAAGGAAAATTTGAGGACTCATTGAGTCTCTCTCTACATTGATGAGGAATCAGCTATGACTGGAGAAATTATGAGCTCCCATCATTGTTTTTTACTAGAATTTCCTTTTTTTTTTTGTTTTCTTATGTCTGTGTTATCCTGACATAATTTAAACTCCTTTTCCCATCCTGTGTTGTATTGGAAGTTGCTTATTGCTCTTCCTTTTGAAAGGAAGGTATTTCTCACTTTTCCACCCACAATCTTCTCTTAGTTATACACGTCAATTCTTTCCATCTTTCTTAAGGGGCCATATTTTCTACATCAAGCATTCATTGTTCTTGCTGTCCTCTTCTGAACCCTTTCCATATTGTCTTCATCTGTTTTGAAGAGTGGTGCCCAGGACATAATACAACTGATACAATCTTTCTGATGCTGGATAGAAGTGAGGGATTCCATGCCACGTAGAAAGATGCTATTTAAAAATTCCAGTGTAAGATTTTCTCTAAAGAATTTGTTATTTGCAAGTTTGGTTATCACAGCTGAAGTTCAAAACTACTGCTCTTTGCATCACAGAAGCTACACATTATTAATTTTAAAGTATTAATTAATTTGCATTAAGGCAATTTTGAATTCTAGCTCCTACCTGCCGACATGCTATTAGACTTTCCAGGCTGCTCTCATTTGTCAGTTTAAGTGCACAACCTATTCCATCACCCCAGCTGTTAATGATAATGCTGAATAGGATGAGATGAGCTAATTTTTATCAATGTTTGTCCTAAACCAGCCCTTTGCACTTGCCAGACAGCTGTACTGTGGAGTAAACAGCAGCACGAACTGAGCCACGTGGAGGCATGGGAGTAGCTTTTGGTTCCAGGTTTGTGCTTCACTGGACCTGACAGGTAACCAGGGTTGGCATGTTCAGGAGGGGAAAAACAGCCTTTACTAAAGAATTGCACCCTGAAATGTGTGGCTGCAAGGCATTAATGGAGGATATGTTTATCTTGGGACAACACTGTGGAATGTGTTCAAGATATGTTGTTTCTCCTAAGTTTACAGTTCTGGCTGGCATCGATCCTTTTACATTGATGAAAGCAAGGTTTTTGGGCAACAGAAGTGAAAAACATTTTCTCCATACTTGGGGAATAATTATCAGTCAAAAATTGTCAGCATGTGAAAGAAATACTGCTGCATTCTGCTGAGCCACAAGTGAGAGACAGTGGGGGGAAGGTTGTGCTGGGATGTATGAAACATAAATGGAAATTAAAAGTATGCGGGGAAGTGATGACACAGTTGTGTTTAAGAATTTGAATAAATGTAGTATTTAAAAAGAAAAAAAGTAATCTTTCCAGCACTATCTCATCTCTTTGTTTGTAGTTTGCAAGACCTTGAGCTCTGTTCCTCCCCCAGGTACAAATGTCTGATTGGATTATTAATATTGCATCAACTTTAAGCTTGTTTATTTTAGCCTGCAGTCACCAAATTTTAGTTTTCTTAAAACCAACTGTTAATTTCAAGTTAGATAGCAAGTCCAGTTTGGAAAATCACAAAACACTCACTTCAGCAGAGGACACATTTTGGTTCCAAGTTTATCTTCTGCGCTTCAGTGTCCTTTTATGTGTCTTTATTCAGTTATCTCTTGTTACGTTATTAAACTGGAAGTGATTTTTGTTCAGTGCTGGCAGAATAACCAGCACAGTGAGGTTCTGGCTTAGGACACTGGGGACTTCACCTCTACAATCTGAGTTGCACTTTGTCAGCTAAAACAGTAGCTGCTGTACTGCATTTCAGTATTATAGCTGTGTGTTTGTTATCAAAATCATTTCATCACTATAATTTTATGAGATTAAAAATGCAACATCTATAGGTAGAAAAGATATTTTCCTTTTCAGTACTTCCTCTCACAAAGGTCACAGCAGAATCTGGACAAATGCAGAAAAGGGTGACTGGGACTACAAAGGTATAGTGCACCTCTTTCTCATTAGCCATGAATTAGTACCAAACAGAAGTGAAAATTACTTGATTATTTGGCAGGCAGATTGAAACTTGCACAGAAAAATACTCCTTCACATGATATGTATTTCAGTTATGGAAGTCATTGCTTCAGGCTGTGGAATTGCAGAATCCACAAAAAGGTCATTAAATGCAAGGACACTTAGGAAGTCCTGGGTTATCAAAATGGGAAACTTACATGAATATTCTGGGGAAATGATTGCACTGTAAGCTTGCTTGTAAGCTTGCTTTTTAAGTTGGTTGGGGTTTATTTGCTTGTTTGTTTTGGAGGGTTTTTTTCTGCTGATGGTGCTTTGTTGTTTTTTTTTTAATGTTTGTTTCTTTTGTTCTAATAGCTCTTCCCAAGAAATCTTTTACTTTCTCTTTGAAACTTTTCAGCATGGCATGACCTACTTGGATCTTTGACTCACTGCAGGCATTGTCACATAGGTAGCCATGTGTGCTGGGTAGCTCCTAGTCTGCAATTGTTGGACGAGTGCTGGGAAGCTTCAAGCGTCATTTGTTTGCAGTCAGAAGTTCTCTGAGCTCTTTCTTCAAGTTAGCAAATGCTAGACAAACAAATTGATTTGTGATGATTTTGTAATCAGAATGACAGTTTGAGCAGTAAAATGGGTGACACTGTCCAAACCACCTGTGTGTGTACTTTTTCCTCTCCATAAGTGATTTCATATAGGAAATCTTGAGATCTGGCTTGGGTGAACTGGCCACTTACAATTCATACATTGTTTTGATTCATGACAGTACACAGTCTTACTTACCTATCCTCACCAGACCACAATGTTTCAGACAGAGAGCCCCATGGTGAGAACATGCAAACTCTTGTTTCTGGCTGTATCCATAAATCATGCTGCAGGCCACCTCTGCCTTACATTGAACCTCCCTTGGCCAGGCTGGAGAGAGGCTCCCTTTTTGCCCTTATGAATCACTTTTCTCAGGCCAGGTAAGTTGTCTGCTCTGTAACCACATTGCTGCCAGTCCAGCCACCCTACGTCCACCTGGGGAAGGGGAAGTAAATGGGGAGGGGGCAAGGGTGAATTAAGAAGGGTGCTTAACAGTTCCCATGCTTGGTCATGAAGGTCATGATAGTTCATTTGAAGGCCACAAAGAGCAGTTCTAGGAAGCTGTGGGGTTTGGTTGTTTTTATTTTCTTTCCCTGCTGTATATAACTGTTTGTCTTGTATTCAGCCCAGTCACAAAACAGAACATTCTCACTGTCTGCTGAAGGTTAGGGTCCTTTGTGATGAAAAGTAGGCTTTTTATTTGACTTTCATGCATTAAAAGTAAATAAATAACTAAATAAAAGCTCAAAGGCACTCTTGGTTTTCACAGCCTTGCTCAGTCACCTGCAGCACGAACAGCAAGTTATGTGTGTGGTTAGATCTTTGTGGTTCTGAGTGTTCAACATGAAAAAGGGAAATGAAGGTACATTTTGAGAAAAAAACAATGCCATCATTTAAAATTGAGGTTATGTTTTGCTTTCAGATACATTCACATTGGAGAGCTTTTTTCATCAAGACTTGTTTATGATTATGCTAGTAGGGAGAGATGACAAAGTGGCTATAAATCTCCATCAGGATATAAAGGACACTCAAATAAAAATCAGCCCCAAATTTGAGCAGCATGGCAGAAGTACATTTATGTCAAAGGGTGTCTGCAGCCATGCCAGAGTTCAAGGCTCTGAGCTGATCCAAACCCAAGGGCTCTTGTGAGCTGTGCTGTCTTCTACACTGCCAACAGACAGTTTCAGAATCAGGTCATACAAGGCACTTAAATTATTTTACTACCAAGTTCATTACACACTTTGAAGCCTTACTGAGATCAGATGAAGGCAGCCAGTAAGAGGAATGAATGGTCTGTTTTATTTCAGGGGTTTTCAGGTCCTTGAGACATCTTTTTCCACTGATCTTGGAGGCTTTGAGGTCCATTGTAGTTGCAATGGTTAGAGAGCTGAATTCAGCTAGTGTGAAATTAAATTTTCTTAAATGAATGCAAATATTCATCTTAAATGGATGCAAATATTATGCATAATATTACCCAGTTTTTCAGGAATTGGTCAGTTTACAGCTTTGGGACCAGTCAGCTATGAGGTCCTTAAAGGAGAAGTTTGAAATGCTGAAAACACTGGAAAAAACTTTCTGAATTGCTCTTGTCTGGCTGATTTATTTGTTTGACTGAGGCCTGTCTGTTGCTGAATCAGAAGGGGAGTTTGTATAGTTGTTGCTTAGACAGTATTCCCAACTAGATTTCAAGTGAGTTTGCTAACCCTGAGTGAATTAATGGTACTATTACTTCCCAAATAGGGAGTTAATGTTTTGTTAGGTACACAGTGTAAAAGGGCTCTGATACTTCAAAGTCCTTTACCCACTGGGTAGGCAATGTAAAGGTTGCCAGTCGGAGATCATTGCAGTGGAAGTTTGTTGTTCTCTGTATTCTACAGAAGAAAATAAAACTGCACAAGAAAACACACATTAACATATTTTGTGAGGTTAAACGTTCAATATCTTTCAACTGTCCTTATTTTTACTACTTTCACATTCTTTCCTTGTGTCATGAGACAAGATAACAGCTTGATTTCATTATGCAGGCTCAGTCTGGATGTTTCAGGTGAAGATATACAGGAATGACAAGATAAACCTTCCTTTTCTTTTGAGATCTGTGGATGTGCAAGATTTCCACATTTGTAAATCAAACTGTTTGAGTGCAAATATGTGAAAAGGGGCTTTCAACATTTAATTTCAGATGTCTTCACTTTCATCTCTAGTTGCCTGCATCGCTGAGCACATGTGTAGGTGTGTGTGAGAGGAGAGGATTATTTTCTTCAGTCAGGTTTTACATCATGAAGGAAGAACTTCCTTGGCCTTGCTTGGTGGTTTCCTTCAGTGAAGTCCTGCATTTCTTGTGGCTCAAGTGAATTTTAAGGTGATTTGTGTAAAGCCTGACAAATGACATCTGGCTGAACAGGCTATCCATCCTATCACCCACATCCTACATCTGCATTTTTTTATGTGCAAACTACTCTTAAGTGACTGGAACAGCTGAAACCACCACACAGACACCACTAAGCAGAAAAAGTCTTGCAGAGAGCAAATGATCCAGGGTCACAAAGGTCCTGTAGTTTTGTTTGCAGTGAAACTGAGCATTAACTTTTTTTTCAGAAGGGGCTGGCAGGCAGAAAAGAAGTGTATGCTAGTTACATGTTACTTCATTGTGTGTTAAGCTGATGACCAGATAGAATTGAGTAACATTTGTCAATAAATGAGAGTGAAACTTTTGTGCAAAGAGATAAAATTAAGAAATTATTCTGAATTAAATACTCGGAAAACCAGCATGAGAGGTTCATGATGCTTTTAGTTCTTTACTTAATCTGTGTACATTTTTTGAAATTATATATATTACTTGAAATCTCTTTGAATAAGCACTATTTAGTCTGCCATAAAAACATGTTTTTCCACTTCCCCCCTGCCACCCTTCTCTCTTTCCATGTGTCTGATTTTTTAGACTTAATAGTATCCTGATAAAAAAGGTTTCAGGTTAAAAACCTACTTTAACAATTCCTGCATTTATTAATGTTGCCTTTTTATCACACATGGACCTCTCATTGACTTACACCTTATACACTACACCTTACACCTTCATCCAAAGAAACAACTGGTGGAAACCTTGTAGTAAAAACCACAAAAAGTTCATACCATAAGACAAAAAAAAAAGCATGTCATCCGTTCATTTTTTAACTGGCAGAGAAAAACACAGTCCTGGAGAGCCAACAACACATGAACTTCCTGACCTTTGTGCTGTGATGGTTTCTGAAATTATTGAATAGTGGGGATGGGCTGAGGGCTAAGGAGGGGAATTTGGGGGCTGGCCTTGGCAGTGAGATAAGGCTACATATAAGGGAGCTGCAGCAGGTTTGGGAACACTAACAGGGTATTTTCCCCGGTGTGCAGCTCAGCGAGTTTGGATCTGGAAATCATGAGCCAGTGCCCCTTTGCGGGGAAGAATTACCTGTGAGTCCTTCTTCTCTGTGTTTTGCTTTATAAATTCAATTAAATGATAAAGTGTTAGTGCAAAATATGAAATCTCAGAGAGGATTTACTTGTTATCAACAAATAGACAGCTGTAGCTATCGCTAAATAGAGATCATACAAGGGCTCGTCTGAGTACTTGTTATTGGATGAACTAAATGTGATGCTACCAGATGCTACTGGGACAAGAGGAATTTCAGTTTTTCTCAAAAGCCTGCTTTACTGGTTCTGTTTATCAAAATAAAGCACTGTTTGAATTGTAGATGCATCTATTAGTAAAAAGGCAGGTATATTAATAATTCTTTAATTAAATGGTTTATATATTTATTTTCTTCTTAGATTTAATTTTAACAAGCTATCTTTGGAAGATGACAATGACGACAAATCTCAAGAAGGAATAAATAAAGCCAGCAAAGGTGGGCTTATCTATGGAGAATACCTACAAGTAAGTTTAAGGATTCCATGTTTGCTGTCCTGGTTGCTCTTACAGCTTGAGGCAGGACCTGTGAGTGACACTTCTCCCTGCAGTCAGGCAGTTACTAAGACAGGTCTCCAGGTGATACAGGCACAGGTGCCCGTCTCGCCTGGCACCTCAGGGTGGAAAGGCTTCTCAAACTGCAAGGAAGACAGATATTTTAGGGGGGTTGGTAGGGAATTATCCATGTTGGTAAGCCTAAACTGTAAAGTGACTCACCACAAAAAGCTTTCTTTGGCCAATTATTTGATAATAATAATCACTCAGCAATTTCTGCATGCCAGAAGGCTCTGTACAACGTCCTTGAAAGTCCAGAATACTTGGCTGGAAAAATATATTTCAGAAATTTAGGGGGTAGGATGATGACTGGGGGGAACATATAAAAAAAACAAAAACTGCAAAAAACTAGAAGTAATTAAGAAATAAGTAAAAATAAAATGCCATATGTAATAAAAGAATTAGTTTGTTGGTTTTTTTTGGACAGCATGAACCAAAGTGAGGGGAATTACTCTATGCTTGTGAACTGATTTGTTGATCTACTGTTAGGAATCTTGCAAGGATTTCTTTGAAAACAGCTATTATTAGATTGTAAATTTGAATAGGAAAATAATTTATTCATTTCAGAACTGAAATTATTATTACTGCCTCAAATGAGAGCTCTTATGCTGGTGTTGTTTGATTACTCAGAAGATTACTCAGAATTTTACTATAGGAAGTCTGTTTTCATGTGACACAATGGTATAAAGAGATAGTAAAATATAAAACAAATAGAAATAATTCCTAAAATCTGGACAACATGCTGGATATTTTGTTTTCTCTATTTTTTTTTTTACTATATATAGGCATATATGTAATTGAAACTACCCTTAAACTTATTTTCAAAACTTTATTACTTGAGGTAAGTAAATGTTCTATTTGAGGCAAGATTTTTTCCTAATTAGAAAGTATAAGTCATACCTGAGACAACTGAGTCAAACTTCTCATATAACCTGGAGTGTGAGGTCTGTATATGCATTTTAAAAAAATATTCTTCTTAAAAATTAGCTGTATACAGTAAGACTGCCATTACTTATAGTAGAATTGAGAGCTTTACAGAAGAGTTCTTACCTTTATTTTTAAGCTGAACAAAATATTGAATGCTCAAGAACTTGAGAGTGAGAAGAAAGGGAAAAAAATCCACGATGAGCATCTTTTCATTGTGACACATCAAGGTAAGTGAAGGAGTGCAGCAGTGGTTGACCAACATTTTTGCCACAGGGAGTTATTTGGTGCTGACACATGCAGTACACTATTTGTTTTCATTTTAGACACTAGCATAGCAATAGCTCTGTCTTTTATCTGTTTTTGTATGTGCTTATATTTATATATAAATTGTAAGCCAATAATCAACACTATGCTTGTGAAACCATAAGTATAACCTTTGGATCTGGTAAACCAAGATATGGATGGTTCTATTCCTAGAGAAATTAAGGTGGTGAAAATGTTGGTGTCATCCAAGCAACAGGCTGCTATGCAGGTTATTTTGGCAAATTTTGTGTGTTGCCTTGTGCCTCCTCTGAAACTTCAGTTTTAACCATTTAGAATCATTTTAGAAATCAGCTCACCAGTTAGGCACTCCCCAATGTCCATATCTGCCTGTTTTTCAGGCTCTGGCCTGATGATATTTTATATTATTGACAGAAAACACGTAGAGTGTAAGCAGGTGTGGAATTATATGTTATTGAAGTATCAGGTCTGGATTTTCTCTTTCCTCTTTTTGTAATGAACAATCTGTAGATCAAATATCTGATGTGCAAAACACATTTTAAAATACTCTGTCAGTATTCTTGATTCTAGATTATTTTGCCTCACACTTTAGGTAAAGGACAGAATACTGTAACAGGTAATAAGCGTACATGTCAGCACCTTCTTGTGCACTGGCAGTGTCAATGTAGGCCATGCATTTCAAACAAACAAACAAAAATAAGAATTTTTCTTTCTTGGTGCTAAGAAGAACAAAGTAACCCTGAAGCTGATGCTAACAGTTTCTTTCTTTTTGTAGCATATGAACTTTGGTTTAAGCAGATTTTGTGGGAAATGGACTCTGTGCGAGTGATCTTTCAAAATGGTCACGTAAGTTAAGAACAACTACTAATTCTGGGAAAATTCAGCCCTGATTTTGTCTTGCTTCCTGCCTCTTAGTCTGATATACTTGGGTTTACTAAAGCAACATGTGCTCTTTTTAGAAACAGCATCAAAAACCAAATAAAATTTGGCTGAGTGGCTCTTATGTCCTGATAGTACAGATTTTTGATCATCCAAATCTTATTTCCTCCTGAAGTATGCTTTTTGTGTAGATCACCTTCCAAGGCCAATTTCGTTGGCCAAAAGGTGCTCATACTCTCCTGCTAGTGCTGGGTAACTGCAGAAACTTAAGCTGGAAATATTCTACTGCAGAAAAAGCAGGCTCAGAGGCAAAACTGAAAAGCAGAAGGCTCACAGGTATTTTTATGTTGAAAAGTAATTTCTGCCTTTGTTCAGTTTCTGAAGTTGACATACTATCTTCTTCCATCTAATTTCTGCTGTGAGAACTCACTTTTGTGATTGTGTAATAGTAAATCCAACAGAGAAGCAAGAATCCAAAGCAGTGAAATACTGTGTGAGAATTTCTGAAAATTACAAATATAAGCAACTCTTCACATTTGTTATCTTATAACAGTAAGTAAGAATGGGAAACTCTTAAATTGATACTAAAATCTGACTGCATGCAGTTTAAGAAATACCTTGAGTACATCATTAGCATATGTCTATGAAGAAAATTTGAAATTAGACCAAATTGACAGAAGAAACCTTCTTTTCATAAGGTCCAGTGAAAATGTTCTGTGTTGTCCACTATATTCCTAATTTCATTGGCTTTTTAGTTTAATATTTTATCAAATTATAACTGACCACAATAAGTTCTTAAGAAGAATATTTTTATTTTTTTAAATTTTTTTTTTGGTAAAAAATGAAGTCTTACCTGTAATCAGAATTTGAAATGTCAATATTAAGGTCAAGTACAGAGCCAAGAAATTAGGGAAATGATTATCATCTGCCATTTTTTGTAGTTTGATATTTCCTGGTTGCATGCCCAGATTTTAGAGAGAAGTTTAATCCCATTGAGACTGAAAGGAATTTTAGCAGACTCCTCTGCAGGCAAAGAGTTTAATTTAGCAAAAAAAAAAAGAACTTTTCTGTTCTCCATTTAATATTTTCTATTTCCCACCAGATGTAGTCTTTTCTCTTCTCTGCTTGCTAATGCACATTTCTGATGAACATGTTTTAGATGTGCTCTCCTGATGTAGCTGTTAGATTATTTACCTTCTCAGCTTTTAAGTAATTTCCATAACTTTGGCTTGTAGAATAGCACAATAATAGAAATTATTGTAGAAGTAATC